CTTCAACCATCACAAACACGATATTGAGAAGCAAAGACACTTAGAGCTCTATGACCATTGATCTAAAGAATGCTTTATTGGCCTGCAGCAATTGAATTTCGACAATATACCAGTTTTGCATTGAGAAATAAAATTTCACTGTTGCAGCATGGACAGACGAAGCAAGTCGGCAACACTAGCATTAGCAATAGCCAAGGCAATCTTTGCCAAACTATTTTCCTTTAATCATCACCCATGGTATCCATCTTTTTGATTTGCCCACTCCAGTCAATACAAAACCTTGCCTTTAACACCTTCTCCTTCTTAACCAGAGAATGCTATTTTACTTTTACAGCTGCAACAGTCCTGGAAAAATTAATGATGATGTAAACCCAAGTAGGGGAGAACATAGACCCCATTTGATCCCCCATTATTTGAGATTATAATTTTTAGAATAGTGTTTTTTCGAAGAATGTGTGGTTAAAAAAGAAAAAAAAAATTTAGGTTTTCGTGTAATATTATTTTATTGGAGAATGTGTGGTTGATAAGAAGAGAGGAAAAAATGGATTATAATTTTAATAGTGGCCAAACGGGGGTGTTGCAAAAATTTAGACTTCTATGGAGAATCTAGTGGAAAATAACACTTGGGTGGGGTGGGGGGGTGTTAAATTTGGGTACTCATCCTATATGTCAGGATTAACTTCTATTCATTTCTTTAGGTAACTTTCAAAGTAGAATTAATTGAGGTTTTGTTGGGGGGGTGTGCATAATGTTTTACTTAAAATTTGGGGGTGGTTTGATTTTTCTTTCTAAGTCAATTTTGACTGGCTTCCAATGCAGACATTTGCATTTGGTTTTTGTTGTTGAAATGCTGCAGCTTTACTAGCCAAGAGTAATGGGTATATTCGAGTGGATTGCTATGGAGGACTCAATCAGATGAGGAGGGATGTGAGTTCCGCATCACATTATCTATTGGTCATGATTAGTTTCACTCCTAAACGCTTTATTTCTCTTCTATTTTATTACTTTAATTGGCATACTATGATGATTGTAGTTGTGTGATGGAGTTGGAGTTGCTCACTTGCTGAACGCTACTCTTGTTTTGCCCAAATTTGAAGTGGCTGCTTATTGGAATGAATCCAGGTAAGATATTGCTGTGAGTCTATCGACAAAGGACTATTCCTCTGCACTTGTTGGATTTAGTTATCAATGTAATTCAGAAAGAATGAGTTAGTATGGAGAGTGCAGTCCCTTAAACTAGAGTTAGTGAAGTAGATTGAAGTCTTTCAACCCCAAAAAAAGGAATTTTCTACTCACCTTCATGTGTCAGAGACTAGGGACACGATATTCTTTCCTAATATTCCATTAATCACAGACAAAACCTACCTTTCAGTGTAACTATCGTCCATATATGCAAATTTGTCATGCTCTAAGATGCTCCAACTCTCAAATAATTCCTCATCTTTGGTATGTTATCTCAATTAATTTGACTTAGTTATGGTTGAGTTACTTGGGTTGTATTATGTGGGTGAGAAACATTCAGCAGTCTGCTGAAATAAGGAAATTTACATCTTCGATTGCTTTTGTGATTTACATTCATTTGATGCAAGCTACACTGTGGCCTAACTTATTATTTCACCATGCAGTGGATTTGGAGATGTGTTTGATGTAGACTATTTCATCCAACAAATGAGTGGCTTCATCGAAGTAGTAAAAGAGCTGCCTGAAGAGATTGCATCAAAAGAACCTTTTCATGTTGATTGTAGAAAACGTAAAGGTCTATATGACTATGTTGAAAGTGTGCTTCCTTCCCTTTTGGAGCATCGCTATATTTCATTCACGCCAGCAATGAGTCAAAGAAGGGATAGGTACCACTTTGTATGCTTGAATTCCTTTGTTCTAGTAAAAAATCTCTTCTTATACTTACAATACAATTTCTAGTCAACCTTGCTTACTTCTCTTGTTCCTGCACAGGTACGAAGATATTTATTCTCGCCGCTTTCTATATTTTGTTGTCTTGGGTGTGTATGTGTGTGTGTGTGTGTTTTCCTGTGCACAGTGGGTGGGTTGGTGCTTTTAGTCTTGCTAAAAGTTCTTGCTGCAGTCGAGGAATATGCAATTTAAATCATGAGGACTTGCGTAAATAATTCGAAAAAATTGAGTTCATTGCTATTAGAGTTATTCCAAGTAATTGCCTTAAAACCTGCTTTTTATTTGGAATATGGCCTTGAGCATAAATGATAATTTGGAATATGATGGTAGAAAAATTGATTATTTATTATTTTGGCAAAAAGGGACGCGCTGAACTGCCAGGCATGTTGTTCCACATTCTTCTTGATAAGTATAAGTTCTTGCCCTTCACTACACATATTGCGATTTTCGTAAGATGTGTTTATCCAGATTCCAGAGTACATCTTATATTCATAAATTTTGTAGGTATCCACTATATGCCAAAGCTGCATTCTGCCAGGCATGTTACAATGCTCTGCGCTTAACCAGCACGTTGGAGAAGAAAGCGTCTGAGCTTCTAGAAGCTATACCGAAGCCCTTCCTTTCACTTCACCTTCGGTTCGAACCTGACATGGTAGCTTACAGTCAATGTGAGTACTCTAATCTGTCTCCTGCCTCTTTGCAAGCCATAGATGCTGCTCGAGGATACCGGAAAGCCTGGACTGGAGAGCAGGCCCATATATGGAGAAACCGGGGAAAGTGTCCCCTCACACCAAATGAAACTGCTCTCATACTTCAAGCTCTTTCTATCCCAACAGACACAAATATTTATTTGGCGGCCGGGGATGGTCTTATGGAACTCGAAGGATTGACTTCAGTCTACACGAATGTTTTCACTAAATCTATCCTTCATAGCGGTGAGGACTTTGCAAACATGCATGGAAATACGAAAGCTGCGCTGGATTATTACGTGTCCATCAGCAGTGATTCATATGTGGCAACTTATTTTGGAAATATGGATAAAATGGTTGCAGCAATGCGTGCTTTGAAGGGGTTGCCAAAAACACTTTTCTTAAGCCGGAGGGGTTTTGCTGTGTCAACTTCTCAGGGGCTCAAGGGGAAGGCACTGCTTGAAGCCCTATGGAAAATTCATAGAGATGATTTTGTAATGGGTGTAGGATCTGCTTTACCTGGCTGCTTTTGTGAATTCAAGTTATGAGGTTAGTTTCCTAAAATTCACATTCCTTCGATGAGGGATAATTTTCTCAATAGGCATATGTTTATTTAAGTTGTGCAAGTCAAGTCGTCAACCGAGTTTATAATTAGTTCGTAGAAGTTTCTTGAGAGAGTCGAACATTAAGTGAATACATATTTTCTTTTTTTAATTTTTTGGAGGGTTAATTGTATAATTCATGAGTTTGAATTCATCTTTTTTCTGTTTGTACGCAGCTAGAACTATTTGGTCGGCTTCTTGCTCTACGTGGGCAAAAGACTCGAAACCTCACTCAAATTGAGTCTTGTAGAAACTCCTTTTTCATTCGTTTTTGATTTTTCTATTTACTCAATTATTTAAGTAAAGTTTAAATATAGAAAAAATAAGAGCGAAGGTGGAGATCATGTTCCCCGTCCCGATTTAGCAGGGCATTTTGCCACATCTATAGATTATGAGCCTATGTTTGGATGCCTATTTATAAATAATTTATAAATTTAGCTCCTGTTCGAGCTATGTTATTTTTTTCATTCTCATTTTTCTATCCGTTTTCAATCATACATTTTTTCAATAAAATAATATTTTCCACCACATCAATAATTTTTACTTCATTTTTAATCACATATTTTCCATCACATCACTTCAAGAAAAATGCATTCTCTCATTTTAATATGCACCAAACACACACTAGTTAAAATCAAACAATAATTTAATTACACATTCATAACACTATTATTCCACTAAATAAACCACTTGTAAATTTGCCAAATGAAGGCTAAATGGTGGGCTCTTGCAAGAACCATAAGAACAAGCTTGTTACGAATTTGACCTAAATTGAAAAATACTGAATTGTAATTCAAGAAACTCGAAAACAAAAGAAAAGTTGTACTTGTCTAATCCTTAGCAAGTTATTCATCAAAAACTACGAATTCACTAGCGAAATGACACAAGTTTCCACTAGCATAGTATTTTGGATTTGAACAGAACAGAGATTGATCACTGCCTGTAGACGTGTCACTGGAAGCATCTTCTATTGAAATTTTCAAAATGCTTGTATTGTGAAGGTCCCAGAAGATAACAAAGCATTTCTCTGTATTACTTGCTTATCACTGCGAGACAATCAGTTTCCCTTTTCTTCTCAACTGCTTGCATTATCCATGACAGGATCTTGTTGGAACTGAGAATCAGTTTACACCGGGCTGAAACATTATGCCGGCAGAATAAAATCAACTGTTGAAGATCAGTATAAATTGATTTAATGGCCATTTCGAAGAGATTCTCTTCCTCCGATGAGAAAATGATACCTAGTGAATCCATATAACATCCTGTAACACTAATATTTGTACGGCTCCCTATCAATGATAACGAAAATATAATCAATTTCACTCAACAAGGCGTAATGGAAAATGATAAACCAGCTGTGCAGCCCGGCCTGCATTTGTACGTGACTTGACTGAGAGCACACTTAAGTAAGCTTGAAACACAAGTAAATTCTAAAAAAAATAATTTCATTTGTTGGTCAATGTTGGAAATAACCAACCAACCTATTTTGAAATTTTAATTAAAAGTGGGGCTTACCTTTAAGCCTAGCCAAAAACTAAATTGAGATGAATTTTTATACATTCTGGCAGATGCAAACTTCTCCCATGTGGAGGTACTCACATTAAAAACCGTATGCATTAACTAGTATTAGATAAACCATTTGATATATTAAATGGGAGAGGTAAATGGAACTAGAGACAATTCGTATTGTTACATGCAAATAAGTCGATAATACATACCTTGGAGAAAAAAATTGTTCCCACTTTTGTATGTGAAAGTCATTCTAACCCCCACTTGTAGATAGATATCTGATAGACTTTCAGCTGGATAATGTGAATCCCCTACATCAAGAAATATATAATGATGATATTAACCGATTGTTATACACAGATTTCACAAAATCGTTGAAATTAAGTAAATGACAAGACTATTCTACAAGGATAAGCAGTAGAAGTGCAAGAGTGTATATGGTGCAAAATAGTCCTACCTAGATATCCAACCAAATGTAGGATAAGCAACCAAAAACTCTGAGAGAGAAATTGGACAGTAGTATCCTCATAATAGCTTTTTTTCGCTTCATGTTACTCCCGGTTGATGCAGAAAATACACTTTCTCATGTAAAATAAAATCATTCATATTCTGAGACCATTTGCTTCCTGATCATGAGATTTTCAATCTTTAAGCAAGGAATGTAGAATCATTGAAGCCTCAACAGACACACCATCATTTAGATAGCGCTCAAATAATTTCGAGTACTTAATAGCAATATTGAGCTCAAGCTCATCTAGAGTGCAGGAAACTATGCTCTTCCATTCTTTAGATTTTCCTACTAAACAAATTCCACTTAACAGGGAAGTAAAAGTTACTGAATCTGGAGGGAACCCCTTCTTCGACATCTTCTCACTCAACTGCAATGCAGCTGTAAGCATTCCATGTAAACAAAGGCAGCCAATAATTGCATTATATGCAGCTGAGATAGGATCCCAACCATCCGACATCATCCATCCAAAAACCTCTAGAAGCATAAGCCCCTGCATATCAGATTCATTATGTCTGTTCAAGATAGTGCTAGATGCATTTTTCGAAAACCCATTAACCAAATAATGAAATGTAACGTCATTGGGATTACATTTGCTCAAAAGCATTTGTTCAAAAAAAGAGGCAGCTTTGGCAAGTTTTCCCTCTTTACAAAAACCTCCTATTAGTACAGTATAAGTCACAACATTAGGCATTGCACCGTTCATTTTCATCTCTCTAAAAATCTTTTCAGCTCCAACAGCATATCTGTTGCGACAAAACCCATCGATGAGAGAGGTATAAGTGACAACATTTGGCGTAGAATTCCGTTTTACCATATGGCTAAAAATTTTTAATGCACCATACAGATCATGTTGCTTTATATACCCATCTATAATAGTAGAATAAGTAAATTCATCGGGGTAAATATTTCTATTTACCATTTTATTCATACAGATGATTGCGTCTCTCATCATCCTAGATTTACAGAAGCCCTTAATCATGGCATTGTAGCCAACTACCCCAGGATCCATACCCCTCTTAATTATATCATCAAAGATTTTCTTTGCCTCATCAAGATTATCATTTCTGATACATCCATCCACCAAAGTAGCATAAACATGCATATCAGGTAGTACACCGTGCCCAAGCATCTCTGAAAGAAGCTGCTTAGCAGCAAGAAACCTTCCAGTTTTACATAGGCCATTCATCAAAACATTGTAAATACCCGAATCGGGGGATACACCCCTCTCGATCATTTTTTCTCGAATTGTCAATGCAGCATCAACCTCCCCGGAAACAACTAACCCATGTACAAGAGCTCCATAAGTTACTAAATCAGGTTTTTGTCCACATTCTGTCATCTCAACAACCAAGCTCGAGGCCCTCTCAAAATCCCCCCGTCTGCAATAGGTGTATATAAGAGGAGTGAAACTTAGCTTATTCGGTATATGTCCCCTCCTTTTCACCTGCTCTAAAAGCTTTTCAGCTTCCTGTAACTTTCCATCCCTACATGCATTAGAAATCAAAATATTATAGGTCACTATGTCCACCTTGCAACCAACCTCGATCATTTTCCTCGTTGTCTCTACTGCATCCCCAACAAAGCCATTCCTATATCTACCTTCGATTATACTATTATACACTTCAGTGCTAACTTCGATGCCCCTTGATTCCATTTCCTTTAAAAGTTCACTAAGTTTCTCAAAACTCCCTTCTTTGCAAATCCCGTTTATTATAGCTGCATATGTCTCCACCGTGGGCAAAAATCCCTTCAATTTCAACTCGTTGAGAAGCCCATGAGCTCTGTCAATGTTCCCTCTCTTGCAATACCCGTCAATAAGAGTATTATAAAACACAATATTCGGAATGGCATTCCTTCCCCACCTTTTCTCAATTAACATTTTACCTTCCTCAACCTTCCCTTCTTTACACAACCCTCCGACCATTATACAAACACTATAATTATCTACACAAATATTGTCAATACCATCATCCCTTTTCATCATTTCCTCGTATACATTCCATGCTATTTCTATTTTCCCATTCTTTACAAGCCCATTAAGTAAAGAATTACAAGCCAAAACATGGGGCACCACATTATACTTTTTCAACACAAATGAATACAACTCAAGAGCTTTCTCAACCTGCCCAGATTCCGCATAGGCTCGGATAACAACATCGAACGCCTCACTCGTAGGCAACTTCTCTTCACATTTCACACACTCCGCCAACAAATTTCCAATCTCCGTAAACACTTTAGACCTAGCCAAGAGCTTCAAAAGCGATGAATAGGCAAACCCATCAAGAGAAAACCTTTTCTGCGACACCCAGTCAAAGAACTTGAGACCCAATTCACAGTCACGAATTTTGTCGAACACTAGGTGTGCAATTTCTGAAGGAGCAACGTCCTCTTCTAAAAAGCGGGTTTCGAGTATTTTTTCCCAATGGCTTTCTTGGGTCCTGATAATTTCACATACCTCATTTGTCAGTTTCTTGATGTGTGGCGTGATGCGGATTTTTGACGGAAGTTTTGGTTTGAATTTGGGGGTGTGCTTGGGCTTGATGAGAGAGAGCAGGTTTTTTGACATTGAGAAAAAACACTTCTCCGTTGAGGGTGTATGTATAAATATATTAGAATATCGACTTTATTTGAGATTAATTAAAATTTTTAAAACTCATAATAGATTATAAGTTGTGACAAACAGCTATAAACTTTGTCCAACAGACACTAACGATGATCATGATCTGATCTGAATTTCTATTATAATTTCTCATATTCTTGATCAAATTTACGATGATTGGCCTAGTACTTCATAATCTATGCAAAGAAATCAGGCCTAATTCACCCATTTATGTGCATTTCGCGAGTAGGCTTACGAGTAAGATTGTGTCACTAATAATAATTTCATCACGTAAAGCCTCTACCAGATACTCATTACTTTTGAAAGAAGAATGAAGCAAGTACCTACTCTGAGAAAGTAGAGCACTTGATTCAATAGTTGTGATTGTGTTTTTTTAATGAGAAGAGTTTTTAACCCGAAATACCATCTTTAAGAGAATCACTCTGAAATGGAGAGTAAGAGGTACTCCCTCAGTCCCTCTTCCACTGGCCCCCAATTTTTCCTCTTGGAGATGTGTCCCAACTTCCTTTGCTCAGTAAACCAAGATCGGTAACACTTCCCTTAGCCACTGAAGTGAGGTTTTGGTCTGCTTTCCCTTGATGCAGTTCACGCAGCACACTCCAAAGTCACAGTGAAATCAAGAGTAAGAGGTACTCCTTCTCCCACTAACCTCCTGATTTTCCTCTTGGAGATGTGTCCCAACTTCCTTTGCTCAGTAAACCAAGATCGGTAACACTTCCCTTCTTGCGCTGTAGGTGAACTGTCTGGATTAATTTTGAATTTTTAAAATTTTATACATTCTAGATTTTTACAAGTCTGAAAATCAACTTCAAGGACCTCTTTAATAAAATAAATCAATGGACCCAAATGCAAAAAGATATGAATGATAACCAAAAGCAAACAATAACCCTGAAACAATTACGCACTTCTCTCTTGCATGAATATAATCTAATTTTTTCTTTCTTATTGCGTTTTACACTTCAAAAATTTTCATGAAGCCGTCAAATCTTCTCAACTGTGATAGGCATGCAATCAGAACAATATTGATGATTGAGCCTATTTAAGAGAAAAAGACAGAATATAACATTTCTAGCACTCGGTAAATTACCAACTTTTCCGATTTGGATTCCTAAAATACTTCTACACGTCTGGAATTCTCTCGTTCCTCCACGATCACCTGCTTTATAAACCATACCCCGATCCCTCGTCATTATCTTTAGCCACCAATGATATAACATGTATATGCTCGATGCCCTTTGACCTTTCAGTAAGTCATAAAGTGGAAAAATATAAGAACCTATGCCCTGCATAAGAAATGGAAAATTATAATAGCTTGATAGATAATCAAAGAAAGTCTCTATTTAAAGCTGTTACAGCATTTCATTTTAATAGAAATGGAGATAATACTTTCATGTATTCTTCTTTAATTTTGATAACCTATGTACAGTTTAATTTTGTTACATTTGCAGATGGTATAGAAGTCCAATCCCAAAGAGTTAAAAATTCAATATAATTCGGTTCATCACCAATAACCTGTTAATCATGTATCCTTCCAGCAGCTGAACTAAAAAAGTTCTACTCGATTCCCACTGTTGAAAATCTTATAGCTGTAAAATTAACGGAGCATATTTTCCTATTCCTACAACGGAAACATGGTGAAGCTTTGAACCATGTTAACAGCACAGGTTGATGACAACATGGACATATTCAGAAGTAAAGAGCAGATAATAGCTTCCACAAACATACAAATGCATCATAAGAGTACCAAAATGCGACTTAAATTCAGCTCTTGTGCCAAAAACTCGTATAAAAACATTGTTCATCCATTTTCCCTGCTGTTTTTCATTACCACTTTCAACACGTTCAAATCATATACTAATTCATATATAACAATTTTTTACTCCCTCACAAATCTTCCAATTATACTCATTCCAAATGCATAATGTAAGGGACCTTTTTCCTTGTAAACTTAGCCCTTGTTTGAGCCCCATTTTTTGGAGATAATAGATTTTGTAATAGTGATTTTTTTGGAGAATTTAATTAAAAAGTAGGAAAAAAAATTGATTTACATGCAAAATTATTTTGTTGGGAGAATATAGTAGGAAATAAATTTGAGGAAAAATGATTTTTTTTAGAATGGGGCTCAAACATAGGCTAAATGTCTTAATTTGATTTGGCACAGTAATATAGGTACGACTGAAAACATTTGTGCACCTTATACGCTTTTATATTTTTGACCAAAAGAATGTGACCTGAGATGATGTGAGGAACCATATGCCTTTGACTTTTGGTATATATAAATCAGTTAACCACAAATGGAAATTATATAATTAAATGTAGACATGGTTTAAAAAGACGGTAGTGAGGCGCGCCTCACTATGAGGCGCATATAGTATGCCTCGAGGCGGTATTTTGAGGCTAAAAATATGAGGCTCACGCCTCAAGGCACTCGCATCGTGGAGCATGAGGCGTGCGCCTCATTTAAAATTTGATTTTTCAATTGTATGTAAAGAAATCAGAAAGTGCCTTTCTTAAAAAAGAAAACTGCCATTTTAAAAAGGCATTTTGGGCCCAAACAAAACAATAAAATACCAAAAAAACTAAACGACAGTCAGGAAGATGATGGGAAAATTAGATATGATGATGATTCCATTAACGATGCTAGTAATAGTGATGATAGTGCAGACTATTAGTTTT